TACGTATAAACCCAGTTTACGTAGGATTTACACGGATTACTCAACATGGCGCTTTCCGGACACACCCGGGATCCTGCCGCAGCCGCCTCAGTTTCATTCAAAGTGCTCGAGCCCATCAAGATATCGAGTTTCAAGACGATTTCATGTGTGGCTGATACCTGATTTCCACGAGACCGTTCTTTGATACTTGCTTCATCCCCTCCAGCGGCAAGACGGGATGAACGAAGTATCAAAGAACGGCTAAACTCTAGCCTTGACTGCTGCCGTATCCCTGTCAAATCTATTAGTTGGCCAATCATACTCAATAGAATCCAACGAGTGGTCTTGTGACTAGCAGTACTGCTACCTCAACCAATGGGCTTGTGGTTATCACTACTATTGCCGCAGCTAGTGCCACTTTGACTAGGATTACTACTGAGTCCGTTAGTGATTCTGAGGTTAGCGTGACTACTGCCTGAACTAGTGATAAACTACCATTGGTGGTCTACTCCATTACATCGTGTTTTCAGATGACAGAGAAGGGTAATAATGAGACATGGGTCACGATATAACTTTCACCATCCTCGGTACTATCATTGGAGTTTCACCCGTGATGTGAAAAATACTAGTGAAAAGCACATCTCACATTTCACTTCGCAAAAAAACGTATATGAGCAGTGAATACCGCGTAAAGCATGTGATGTGTTTTTGATGTGATACGTAAAACGCAAGATTAGTTTCGCCGACGGTTTGCGACTTCGTCCATGTTCCCACATGAGAGACGAAAATATGTTTTGACATTGAGCCTTCGAAATTGCTGATTGGTCAACACAGAGCTACGTCAATAGGTCAATTAATCCGATGCTCAGACCAGCCATGCTTAAGCACATAGTTCTCCATTCGTCTAACTGCAATAGCGTTTAGCGCATACAGCTCGTTGAGCGATCGGTCGAGATTGTGTGGAAGGCTGTCCTGAGAAGATACAGCGATCGGACTCCGATAATCATAGTTGGGCTATGCTATGAGCCACGCCAGACGTCTCACATAGAATTAATTGGCTTCTTCACTGCTCCCGGCTCCGTCAAAATAGGTTCGACTGCCATCCCGACTGAATGCATTGTAATTAAAGCGCTTCCGACGTGTTAGATTCATAGTCGCAATAGGTTGGGACTCCATTGCCAGGTTTCCCTAAGTGATGGTGATTCAAGGGAGTGCATGATTGCATAAGTGCGCTACTCTCAGAGCGGTCGGTCCGACCAGGAATGTTCCAACCGGGTCGGAACATTCCCGTGAACGGTTTGTTTCAGAAGAGACAGTAGTATATGCCGTGAGGATACTAGTGACTCTAGTACTAAGTGTTGGGAAAACTTATTCAACTCCTTCTCCAACGTCAATTAGTAGTACAGTGGTTGGGGTGTTTGTCAGGGTTAGCTGTTGGCAACAGCCTGTTGCTGTGAAACAGCTCCCTGACGCTCTCGACTAGTCGTATATTTATTGTTTTGTGAATGATTCACTGCCAAGTCCGGAGTGGTATACACTAGTGACGATAATTTAAAGGTATGAGCATGAAAATACAAGGCACCGCCTATCGGTGATGATTGATAGTCGAGATATTACGAGAAAATGCGACTTACGTAGACGTTATTGTTAAGTCCCCGCGGTAAAGGTAACGGAGGAGGTGATACTAGAGGGTCATGAACTAGGCCTCAACAGAGAACAACCGGGCATCATTTCATGAGAACTGGGCGATTCTGATACAATACAAGTATATTGTATACTTGTATTGTATATATTGTATACTGTATAGTATACAGTATTATACTGTCAGTATACAATATATACAATATATAGTTCGCAGAATCTAGGTGTATACAGTGTATACACCTACGAAACGTTTCATCTACGAAACGTTTCGTTTACACCTTTCACAGATACGTTATTCTGTGAAACGTTGCCGTTCGGGTCGGCTCCAACTAGTTGGACACTAGTTTCAGTTTCAAACTACTGTCGCTATGGCCAACACAACAATCGAGAATTCTGCTCCTATGAAAACGGAGTGACTTCAACAACTGCTGCTATAACCAATACAACAACTGGGAATACTGCCCATGAACGACATATTGAACTGATGCTGAGTTTAATTCACTGGACCGAGCTTGTACTACAAGCTCACTACAAGGGCACTACATATGCAATCACTACAAGCCTTGTAGTGATTGCCGTGCAAGCGCGGCGATCGAAACGCCTCGTGAAAAGCCGGAAAAGTGAGAGAATGCAAGAGAGTCCATATTTTCTTCTCGGCCATGCGGCCGAGAGGGTTCATCGAAGTGCGTATGACCCTTTTCCGGACTCCTTGTTCATACTCATGTTT